GTGCAGTTCCATAGTGAGTAGATACAGCAGGGAGCAGTATTGGACCAATACAATGTCCATTGACTCCCATTATAATTTATAAAACATTAATATTTAAAAAAAAACTATAAGTTTTACAGGCACCAAAAGGCATAGCCATCATTTGGCACAGGAGCTTTACAGATATAAATTACAATGGCAGCTCTAGGACAAAGTATGCAGGAGGAGAAGCATGGCAAAGTGGAGATGACTTGGATGGGAAACGAATCACAATTGTAAATACCATCATTATTTAAAAAGACCTGTGCAGTGACTCAACAAAAGAAAGAAAGAGGAGTTGTGTGTCTGACTTGTGTCTGTGTAGATGAACTGTAGAGTTGATGGTTGGATGAATCCTGCTGACGGTTGGTGTCTGAACTGCTGCTGGATGACGATCATCTGGATCTTCCTCCTGGCCTTCAGCTCCTCCTGACACACATCTCAGCACTGACCCTGTAGAATTCAGGAATACAAGACAAAATACTCAGATTTATACAGAAATATAGTTTTTAACAAAGGTACAACAAATACTGCAAACATTAAAGGCCAGGATTGATGGAGCACAAAATAAAGATTGTGTTTATCATTTACCTTGTTAATGACAGACGGTAGAATAATGACAGATACATGGTTCACGTTATAAAATAAACTAATACTGTTCTTGTCAGGTTGTCAGACAGGTCAGTTTATTCAACTAACAAGTTTTCTTCTTCCAACAAGTGAGTTTTTAAGTTTTCCAGACAAAAAGAAGAAATAAAATCGTTCCAGCTATAAATGCTTGTTGGTATCAGATACATCTTGACTCACTATCAGCAGATTTATTTATTTAGTTAGTTATAAAGGTTATTCATTGTATATATGTATGAAGCTGAAGAATAGTCCTGCCTGATAAAAATAAATTATTTTACCAACTCTTTGTATCCTGAAATAATTTGTACTTATTTTAAGAAGATTGGTACAGTTTACAGAAAACCTTTGTAAAGTTATTTGTTATATTTTAAAGTTACTGACATAAAAACCATCTATATGTATATTTGTTTACATATATAATTAAATATGCTTTACAGATTAATTTTATTTATTCATTAAAATATTTTTAGGCTCAAGTCTGCTTGATAAAATACTGTAAATGGATAAATATCCAGGTGTTCAGGATGCACAGATTTGTATGTTAAAACACAAGTGAAGTACAAAATGCTTCATTTTGCCACAGTTAGTCATTTAAATCAGTTATTTATTCTAAATGTTCACAAACCACAACATTCAAAATGTCCTCAGCTTTAATTTGAACCATGATTTATTAAAGTCAAGCAAGAAATAAGAACTTTATCAGAGTTTTTCTACAGGACAGCACCTCAGAGCCTAGCCTAGCCTAGCCTAGCCAGCAAGCTGAAGCTAGCCTGGTGCTAACACTGTTTGCTAACAGTGGTGACCTGACAGGAGCACACACAGGTTAAATGTGACACATTTCACAGTGTTCAGTTGTTATTTAAACCTCCTCCTACCTGGAAACGCTGCACAGCCTCACCTGCCTCCTCAGGTAGCTCACCTG